AAAAAGCTGAGATAGATATATACACACACACTCTCTCTCTCTCTCTCTCTCTCTCTCTCTCTCTCTCTCTCTCTCTCTCTCTCTCTCTCTCTTACTTACAGCCTTCATGTTAAAAACAGTTCTGTGAAATGTTGGTGGCATTTTGGTTGCATTTGCAACAAATTAATTTTAAAAATTCTGATATGTTGGTAATAAGCAAGTATATGGTACACACAGTTTGACTGCTTCCACTGGCTTCTGCAAAGGGAAAACCTATAGTAACCAGGAATGTACAAACATAAGACATCTTAGCATTACTGTTCAAACCAAAGTGTCTGGCTTATTGTAGCACTTGGAGGATTTCCTCCTGTGTTACTGCAAGATTGTGAAATGCAGTCTCTCCTGAGTTGCAGCCACTTGCCTTTTACAAAGGGTATGGAGACTGATCTTTTCAAACAGTCCTTAAAAAACTATTTATTGAATTACAGCATTGAGATAATTACAGTGGTTTTGTTAATTTGTTTATAATGATGCTTTTCCTCACCTTTATTATTTTTAGTGAACATGCAAAATAAAATTGCAATAAATAAACATGTCTCACATAAAAGATCAGTATTAGTCATGCAATACTGTATTCTGAATGCATGGATTACAGACCATAGAAGTCTGCAGGAATTCCCTCAGCTAAACTTCTGGTGGATTTAGCCAGTGGGGGAAAAGAAAGAAAACCGGAGGTGTTATAATGACACATTTCCCTTCAACAGCATTGGAGTTAGGGGCTTCTGATGCTCATGTTGTTCAAAATCCAAGTATAACTCTTATGCCCCCCCAAAATGTAACTATAGAGCATGCGCACACACCTCTCCCATGACCCGTGTCAACTTCTTGGAATGCCCAAGCACCATATCTGGCTGCCCTGTGGAGGCACCATGCCAGGACAGGGAGCCGGCCGGACCACCCCCATCCAAGTGGGGAATGCTGCACTGCCAACAAGAGGGGCTCAATAAGTCTGAGGCCCACCTTTCTCAAGTCACTTCCTGGAGATGGGTATCAGCATAGTAAAACCCAATTAAAAACATGGCTGTTTATTCAGGCCTTCCCTCCAGCCAACTCTTGATTTTTTTCCTTACTTTTCCTTTTTATCTTTACTGCTGTTCTTGTTTGATTATTATGTATTTGTCTATGTTTTATTATTTGCTTTTATATTCGGAAGCCGCCTAGAGTGGTCCGGTGGGCCAGATAGGCGGGGTATAAATAAATTAAATTAAATTAAATTACATTGTATTTACTGAGTTTCTGTTGAGGTTGCTTGGAGCTCAAGAACTGCCCTGTTTCCCCGAAAATAAGATCTAACCTGAAAATAAGCCCTAGTATGTTTTTTTTTAGGCTGCTCAAAAAACCCCAAAATAAGGCCCAGTTCATTGAAACCCCATCCGCCACCATTGTGCAGCAACCAGAAGATGACAATATTTGAATAAATGTAGATTTTTGCACATGAAAAAAAAACATCCCCTGAAAATACGTCCAAATAAGCCCTAGTTAAGTGAAACCCCGCCCTCCACCCTTGTGCAGCAACCAGAACATGACATGACTATAACAAAAAACATCCCCGGAAAATAAGCCCTGATGCGTTTTTTGGAGCAAACATTAATATAATATAAGACCCTGTCTTATTTTCAGGAAAACACTATATTTATTGAATATTTATTTATATAGTAAATTGTATGTATGTGTGTGTGTTTGTTTGTTCATACATGCTGTATGTATGTGTGTGTGTGTTTGTTTGTTCATACATGTATTGTATGTATGTTTATTTGTTTGTTTGAATTGCATGCTGCTTGTTTCCATGCAATTCAAGGGAGAAGTGTACTTTCTCTCAGACATGATGAAGGAAGGGACTAGGCATTATGGGAACTGCAAGGCATTATGGCTCTGGTAATTTCTTGAGAAACACCCTGTATGGAGTATAATTGGCAGAGTGACTATCAGGCCCTTAATGCCTTGCAGCTCCCATAGAGCTCAGACCTGCCCAGCTATTTACTTCATCTTCATTATCTACATCATAAGCCATTGTTTCTAACTGAACATGATTAATTTGTGTTTTGTTTTATTAAAGCCTGCAGAAGTTTGGTTGGGGAAATTCCTGCAGACCTCTAAGAGGATTGGCTAGAAATCCTATGGCTAGAATGTGTACTTTACCTTTTGATCCTGGCTTATGGGGCGGCGGCAGTAAGCCACATCTGGATTTAGACATAACGCTGTGGCTTACTCCTAGTTACTGTAGCCACCCTGACTTGTAGGAGGAACCAGGTAGAGGACCCCTGTGTTGGCTTCTTCCCAGTAAGCTAGACATCTTGGCAGTTTTGGCATACAGCTTTGTGTGAATCTGATTATTGAAAGGGAAGAGTGCAGAAAAGCTCCAGTTCACATACCCAATTTGGTTTTAGGGGCATTATATTTCTAGTGAATAGCATGTTCTGCCGGTGGAAAACTAGGGAACAGAAGGGGAAAGTCTTATCAAGCAATTTTGGGAGGAATGTTGCCTTCCCAGCAGCATTAAAAAGCAGCTAATGATACAAGATGAATCTGTACGTTTCAGCGAGAGGAGAAAACAAAGGTTTCATCCTTCATGAGAAGGAATAGCACTTACCATCTTCATGGAAATTCTGAATCAACCATAGATGCACAACTACAGTAGATGTATACAAGAGGTATGATATCGCTGTTGAGTTGCATTCACTCATATTTAAGATTCGTGAATAAAGAGTCAGGTGAAAAATATGTGCAGAGATATCTGTTCTTAATTTTATTTTACCCTAAGATACAACAGCTATGCTAGATGTCTACCGCGTCTTTTCAAAGCACTGTATACTTGAAGTAGGCCTTTAATTTACCTTTTAATCTCACATAGCTTTAAAACGTTCGTCCAAGCTCCTTGACATCACTAACATTTCTGAAAGCTACATACAGATTAAATTCATATGAAACAAAATATTTACATATAGTTTGTTTTAGATTTCAATTGTAATCAGATTCTTTAACAATTTTTTCTCCTGCAGGGGTATCTTTGTGTTTTACCGTTGTTTATTTTTGCTAACTGGTGGATAACAAGTTTCATAGTTGGTTTAAACTTGGTCTTTGAATGGGCTGTATGAATTCCCCATTTGAATGATACTGCTGTACCTTGAAATGTATGCAACAGGCTGCAAAAGTAATGGCCATGCTTGCTAAATGCAAAAATCAGATGCATGATACCTTTCAACATGTTAGGCTTTGTAGGATATATACAGGACCATTAGGGGGTCCTGGTCATCTCTCAATATATATAGAATATCCTGTTATACTTTTGAATTGGATACTGACACATAATTTAGCCTTCTTAGCAACCAGTTAAAAATTGTAACATAGCACCCAGAATTAGTTGAAGAGACTTCAGTCTGCAGTGTCACACCAACTTTTCCCCCCTGAAAGGTATAGTTGGAAACAGTTGGAGATGGTTCATTTGTGTGTGCTTTTCTACATGTTGCCACTACTGATGAAGGCTTCCATTCATCTATATGTATTAAATCTGAGTTTGAGAAGGTTAAATTAAATTCCTCTGTGAAATTTCTTAAGTCATGCATTATTTCCTCCAGGTGCCATGTAGAAAACTGGCCATTTAAGACTGGGCTAATCTTGTGGTGTAAATCTTTGGGGAAATTGAATTTGGAACTGTTTATTCCCAAAGTGCTTCAAGAGGAAAGCAGACATTCCTGGTTGGATGATTGTTATATGCTTCCTCTGGAAGGTGTTCGGAAACTTCAGTGGGTCCAGAACATGGCAGCTAGATTGCTAATGGGGATTGGTCATAGGGATCACGTAACTACCACCACCCCAATTGCAGCAGCTCCACTGGCTGTTGATCTGTTTCCGGCCACAATTCAAAGTGCTGGTTCTAACCTTTTGTTGTTTAGTTGTGTCTGACTCTTCGTGACCCCTTGGACCAGAGCACGTCGGGCCCTCCTGTCTTCCACTGCCTCCCGGAGTTGGGTCAAATTCATGTTGGTCGCTTTGATGACACTGTCCAGCCATCTCGTCTTCTGTCGTCCCCTTCTCCTCTTGCCTTCACACTTTCCCAACATCAGGGGCTTTTCCAGGGAGTCTTCTCTTCTCATGAGATGGCCAAAGTATTGGAGCCTCAGCTTCAGGATCTGTCTTTCCAGGGACCACTCAGGGTTGATTTCCTTCAGAACGGATAGGTTTGTTCTCCTTGCAGTCCAGGGGACTCTCAAGACTCTCCTCCAGCACCACAATTCAGAAACCTCAATTCTTCGATGGTCATCTTTCTTTATGGTCCAGCTCTCACTTCCATACATCACTACAGGAAAAACCATAGCTTTGACCATGCAGACTTTTGTTGGTAAGGTGATATCTCTGCTTTTTAAGATGCTGTCAAGGTTTGTCATTGCTTTCCTCCCAAGATGCAGTCATCTTTTAATTTCGTGGCTGCTGTCACCATCTGCATTGATCATGGTGCCCAAGCCCTAAATGGCTTGGGTCCAAACTGTCTCT